GGCCGACACGTGCACTTCCCCTTCTTTCTTTCCTTCCCCCGTCCCCACCCCCCACCATCCCCACCCCCTACTCGACTGCCGTCCCCCTTCTACCCCTCCACGACCCCTGACGGCCGGCAGACTTGAGAGGAGACCCCACAACGCGTCATGGTGCAGCCACGGGACCTCATCAGGAACGCAGGCTCGCACGGCACGGGAGGAGGAGCAACCGTAGTAGGAGCTAACACCGCACCTCCTCAGTGCCGATGCAGTGGCGCTCCTGATGTGGCTTCTGGCGTTTCGGATATATTTATAGTATACTCTCTCTCTCCCTCCGGCCTCCAGGTGCGCCCTCCGTCAAAAGCAGGGTCTTGGCAGGGCTAGAAGGCGGGCATAGTCTCGGTGCAGGGGCCCAGCCGCACCTTTCCCCTTTCTCCCTCTCCTTCCACCAGTCCGCTGTGTCGGAGGCCTGGCTGCCTCTTGCTATGATACTGCCATCTACCGGTCTTTTATGGAACTTGTTTGCTTATTGTTGTAACGGCTTGGAAAAAAGTAACTTTGTACAGCTGTTCAACAAGTAGGCTCTCACTTTGTGGATAACATGTACAATTAGTATAAATTTTTTTATTTGATTCGATGCTAATGTAAATACTGAGAAAGTGGGTAGGTGTGTTAACTTTGTGTCCGGAGAGAGTGAACCTGTGGGTGGAATCGTCCTTTTCTCTCCCAGTTAGACCACAAGTAGCGAGCTCTTGGCTACTACTAGGACGTCGTCGTTCTTGGTCATGGATTGCTAGTAGATTGTGTTAACACGCGGCGGCGGCGGCGGCTTCGGCGCCCAACTCTCCTCAACAACTTCTCTTCTCACCTCAGTCGCCTTCAGCTTCTGGGAACTAACTCTTTTTTTTTGGCCGTGTTAATTGACCTGTGTTTGTTAATCTCTACTTTGCAGACGAACTGGTTAACGAAAAGGAGAAGTACAAGTCCATTACCGACGAGCTGGACCAGACTTTCAGCGAACTGTCTGGCTACTAAACACTCTCTGCTCCAAACTGTTCTGCCATCTCTCTTCCTATGCCCTCAGCTGGCCTGTAACCTATTTTTCATAAGCTTATGTCATTCAGTTTATAAGAATCTTTTTACTTTTCCTTCTTTTTATGTGTTGCATTTGACCTTCGATTGAGTCAATATCATCACTAAATCATTCGATAACGTTGGTGAAGTCTGCCATATAGGTAATTTTAATGTTATTAAAAGGTAATCTTTATTCAGGAACCTAGATTTTGAAGTTCATTTCAAAAGGACAGGTTTCATGTATTCTATGGCTTAATAACATAAAGAAATAAATATTTATTATCAAATGAATTTGTTTTGTTGTTTACGCTGTTATCCCGACACGACCATGACCAACGATGAAGCGAGTGGCAGTAAGATGAGCCTAGGACCACTGCTGCTGCCACCGTCAGCCGGTGGACTGCCTGTAAAATATCTCACCCATCTGTTACAGATGAACTTGTTAATGAAAAAGAAAAATATAAGAACATTGCGGATGAGATGGACCAGGCGTTCTCAGAATTATCAGGATTCTAAATGTGGCACACTGGTGGGCGCTAACACGGTGCTTGGACGGGCGTCCGTGTCCGCGGATGTGTGGGCGGAGGCCATTACTCCGTCCACACCCGCAGCACGATCACGCCCCTGCGGACTGACTTGACTGACGGCCGAGACGCGCCCCACACCAACACCATCACCACCACCACCTCCAATCATCACCGCCTGGCCCGCCACGCTAACGTCCGCCGTGTAATGGCCGAGTCCCGGGGCTCCGGAGGTCCAGGGCGGCCCTCGACGGCAGCTCCGTGGGGCTGCTCTCGCGCGCCGCGCTCGAACTCCGGGATCCAAAGGGCGCTGAGCCTCACCAAGGCTCCCCCGTTCTCTCGCGGATCGGGGCGCATGCTGGGGTTCCTCGCCCTGGGAGTCGGCCCACGTCTCTCTTGCTCTGTTGCCGTATGTAAGGGTGTGCATAGGTTCACCTTCTTCAACTCGAGTTGCAATCAGTCCTTTTATGCGTCATGCATTTACAATATATGAATTATCAATAATATATAAGTTAATAATATTATTCAACTTTTAAATCTGGATCTTATACTTACAGAATGATTGTACACTGTTTGTTTAACGTGTAATAAATTTTGTAAACAAAAATGTATTTTACTGATTCCTCCTTTGTGAATACACTCTATGCCTGAGTATAGCATATGTATTGGAAGAAAGTAATCTCTCATGGGTTACGAGTTGGTTACAGAAAAATCATTGTAATTACCTAATGTAAATCAAAGACTGCTTAAAAGATAACGTAAATTGCTATTGTATGATATTCAGCATTGTTTTAAAGCCTTGAGAGATGCAAGTGGGAAAATACCACAATAAAAAATACTTGATGCTTTCACAAGACTATCTGAATATATCCATAATGGTTTTCATATGGTAAAGGCATAGAAAATTGGAATGGTGCAAACTTAGAAAAATGAAATAAAATCTAATACTTTAGTTGCTTATAATGTCAATTCACAATAGCACTCTTGCTATGCCCAGTCCTTTATTACCAATGCTGCTTCATTTCATCTATGTGCAAATGCTAAGTGTTTAAAGGTATACTAGGAGAACTGTCAACAGTCCTCTTGCGACTGCATCAATCTGGGAGTGTCAGATGTTAAGATCTGCCATGTCACCAAAGCCTGCACAGACAGGGTATGCAGATCTATCCATTATTTATGGAAAGTTATCTGTCAATAATGATTAAGTAACCCCACTGATTTCAATTCTGCTTCCTCTATCCCAGTCTTTCCTTCAACCATGACTCTGATCACTGCTCCTACTACCCCCCCCCCTCTCAACACCTACTATCACATCAGCCCAGTTCAAATCATCCATCCAAGTCAGTACTCGTATCTCCAGGAAGCATTCCTCCTATCCCAACATCCACTACTTTCTTCAACTACCCCCATCCTCCTTTATTTCTACTATGCAACCTTATAGGCCACCACTCCACAGTACAAGCTCTTTCACCACTACTCCCTTTTCCAAGCTCTTTCACCACTACTCCCTTTTCCAAGCTCTTTCACCACTACTCCCTTTTCCAAGCTCTTTCACCACTACTCCCTTTTCCAAGCTCTTTCACCACTACTCCCTTTTCCAAGCTCTTTCACCACTACTCCCTTTTCCAAGCTCTTTCACCACTACTCCCTTTTCCAAGCTCTTTCACCACTACTCCCTTTTCCAAGCTCTTTCACCACTACTCCCTTTTCCAAGCTCTTTCACCACTACTCCCTTTTCCAAGCTCTTTCACCACTACTCCCTTTTCCACACGTCCCCGCCCTTCAACTACCCCCTCATCTACAAATATCTTGAATACTTGGTTTAGTCCAGCCAAATGGGATCGATTTTTCTTAATCTCCCCACAACCCCTTACTCTGACAACTCTCTCTTCTTCCAGCAATACCTCCAAAGTAGTAAGCAAAGTTTCCTCTCCACAGATTGTTCCCACTTTGTCACAGTTATATTCGAATCCCCAGCCATAGCATTATCATTAAGCTTAATGGCTTCACTGACATATCTATTCCTACCCAAACTCATCCCTCCCTCTTTAGTTTCTCTGGAACAATCTCCATTTCCCCAAGAAACTGCCCTGTCTACAACAAGGATTGGTCAGATTGTGGAGAAGACTTACTCATAAACTAAGATACAGTATCGGTATTAGTGCTGCACCATCCCTCCTAGTGGCCGTCGTAGGTCCCCCAGCATAATTGCCAAAATTACTTTACGTAGACATGATCTCCCCTTTAAAGTTTACATTGGTGAAGAATCCTTCCCTGTCTAATCATATCACCCCCCTACCCCCCTCCCGTCTAGGCCATCCTGCCAAACACTGTCGTTCTACAGCCCAATGCCCTCTTGTGCCCAACCTAGTCATAATCAATCAAACTGCTCTACACGTGTGCCAATTGTGGTGGCTCCCATAATGTATCTTATAGGGGCTGCCCTGGCTCCAAGTTTGAATCTGAAGTGAATGGTCTCAGATTCAAACTTGGCCTCACTTTACGTGAAGCCAGACAGGAAGCACATCAACAAGGTTTCTCTCTCACTCACAATTCCAATAATTGCCCTGCCCATTCCCTTTCCTCCTGAGATGATTCTGCATCTCCTCCAGCATCTCTTCCTCAACCCCCTTCTACCCCCTGCCTCCCTCTCTCAAATTCTTCTGCCATCCACCCCAATCTCCACCACCTTCAGTGGAAAGAAGAAGAAAAAACATGCAAAATTTGCTGAGGCGAGGGCTAAGGTACAAGGTAGGGGTGATCTCCTACACTGGGGGGGGTAAAGGATGTAAACTAACATGCCAAGCTATCCCAGCATAATACCACAGGACAATACAGTAGGGAACATTAATTTTGGGATAAATCTTGTAAATGCATTTTTGCATTTAGTTTTTCCATCTGAGAGGATTTTGTTAAAAATCCTAGTCCCTTTTTAGCATAACTTGATGTCAAATACTATTACCAATGAAAGTAATATAAAAAAAAAGGAAAAAAATTGTTTCATAATAGATAAAGTACTGGCACTACATATGTGAGGATTGACTCTTTATAGCTTCATTAGATAATCTGATGGGAAGTTCCTAATTTCATTTTTAATATACCTTGGCCTTCAAATCATTTCAAAGCTAGAAATCTCATACAGAGGCTCCATTATATACTTGGGTCTAATTATACATAGCCAAGATTATCTTCTAAATCCCCTACAGTTACTTCAAGTATTTAATCAAACTAAATTGGTTTGACATTTTTGTCTGTAGTACCAAAATAATGTTATTGCTAAAAAGCATTTTAATAATTTAATATACCTAATACACATCAACATGTAACAATAGCTGCTAATCAGATATATTCACTGCCCATATCACTGGTTACTTCTAGGCAAATTCATTATGACTAATAATGGATACTGAAGTCAAGCCAAAC